CAGTATTTTTCGAACTCAAAACTTTAAACATGTCAGTGTAACAATATTTGAACTATTATACTAACCCCTCAAATAGTTCATTTCTGAAAATTTCAGCAAAAGCCAATGATGTACATTCCCTTTAACGACATTGTCATTGTAACCGTTCACTACGTAAGTATGGCCATCCATGATAGCATTGTCAGAAATATCTTAGGCAGGTTTGGTCAAGTTATCGCAGGGAGATTCACCACGTATGGGGACAACCCCACTGTATTTAATGGTACCAGGCAGTACCGGATGAAGGTGACCTCTGCCATCCTAACAGTACTCAGGATTGGGGATCGTAATGCCTGGATTTCATATCCCGGGCAAGTCCGAACTTGTGCCCGTTGTGGCCAACAGGAGCATTATGCCCGGGAATGCAATAATGTAAAATGTTTTAAAAGCTTGCAGGTCGGCCATGTGGCAAATGAATGCCCAAAATAGCACAAAATGCACCATCTGCAGGGAGGAGGGGCATGGCTTTCGGGCCTGCCCCAAATCCTTCGCCAGAAAAGTTCAACCAGAGAAAGCATGGAGTAAATCGACTACGGCTCCTCCTCCTCCTCCTTCTCCACCACAGCCAGCAGGGGAGCGGCTTAGCGTGAGTGAGGCGGATGAACAAGAACTTTCAGCCAAAGAATGTCCCAAGTGTAAAAAAATGTCAGGGCCTTTTCACCCTAGCATTGTTTGCTTTTCATGCAAGGGTTCTCTTCTTTCTGAATCTTTCAGAGTTCTCGAGTGCGCCCTCTGTAAGGGCACAAATGGTCCACCCTCCCTTGTATGTGACAGGAACATCTGCAGACAAGTGTTAGCCCCTGCCCAGGACGACGGGTTTCGAGTCGTTCGGAGGAGAAAGGGTTCTGCAAAACGGACCCGATCACCGCCGGACGCTCCTGCCAGCAAAAAACCCGCTCCTTCTGCTTCGGATCTCTTTGGCTCCAGCGACTCGTCAATGGAGCACGACCAGGTAAAACCAAAAGAAAAAAAACAGTATCTTCTTCTGGTTCTTCCCACTCCTCCTCCTCCTCCTCCTCTAGCTCGTCATCTGACTTGTCGGATGTCGAGTCCGAGGGTGATTCCACCGCTAACGAAGTCGATGGAGTGGACCCTGTGAAGACGGAAAAAATGTTCAAAACATATTAGCTCGCTGAATCTCCCTGGAATCAGCGAGCCAGCAAGATGCAAAGTTTTGTCCTGTTCTTTTACCTGTCCTGCATGGTCGGGCCTAGTCCGACACGTCTCATCGGTGCACAGGGACACCACACTTATCCAACTTAAGTGTCCCTGGTGCCAGTTCATAGCGTATACGCCAAGCAGGTGGAGCCGGCACATTTGCCGGAGACACGCTGCTGACGCCATCTTGAAACAGGCGGATTTCTTCAAGGAATTCCTTTAAATTTTACTCTTAATTAAATGGCAATTCTCCAGGCATTCTTCCTTTTTAACCTAATAATTACTATTTTTACCCTTAATGTAAATGGTATGCGTGATTTTCACAAACGCCAGCAAGTTTTTAACCTTTGTCTTGATTATGACGTTTGTTTTTTGCAGGAGTGTCATATAACTGGCCCCGTAGACCTGCAACCCTGGAAATCGGAGTGGAAAGGGGACATTTTGGCCAGTTACGGTACTTCTTCTTCTTGTGGCACTGCCATTCTTTTAAATCCACGTTCTTCTTATAAACTGAAGATGTTCAATGTGATTTGCAAGGAAGAATTGCTAGCTGTTTTTTAGATGGGTCAGGTGGTCGCTTTAGACTGATTTCAGTCTATGCTCCTAATGACCCCCTTCATAAAAAGAATTTTTACAATAACCTTTCCCAGTACTTTACTGGGAATTGTCCATTCATCTTAGCGGGTGATTTTAACTGTGTTCTTAATTCCGCCTTGGACAGAATAGGTACATCTTCTGTCACCTGCGACATCGGTCACCAGGAACTTCGCTCCGTGTGTGGCAATTTTTATCTGATAGACCCTTGGAGTACCACCTATCCTGAAGATAGATATTTTACTTGGAGAAATGCCTCAAATACCATTTGTAGTCGGCTGGACCGATTTTATATTACTAATTCTTTGAAGTTTATTACCATTTCGCATGTGCCTGTCTACTTCTCAGACCATGATGGTGTTGTTTTTAACTTTAACCCTTCCTCTCTTCCTAGGAGAGGAAGAGGATATTGGAAATGTAATACTTCCCCATTTTAACAGATGTGACCTTTCAAGAAGCTTTTAAGACAGCCTATTCAGGGTGGCGAACGCTCAAAGAAGGTTATGATAACTATGAGGCGCCATGTGTAAATAAATTATTTAACCAAATTATTTATATATAATTCATTATTTATTATATAATTCTTTTTTTCCGGACAATTATATGTAAATAATTGTTTGGCAGTTTGCATTATATGTAAATAAATTTATTTCTCACTGCATTATTTATATATAATTTTTTTGGAAACCTAATTATTTACATATAATTTCGGGCAAACTAGAATTATTTATATATAATTTCTTTGCAACCTCATTATTTATATATAATTTTATGCACCCTTTTTTTATTTATATATAATTTATTTGCAAACTGATTATTTATATATAATTTTTGCACACTTTTTTTATTTATATATAATTTATTGGGAATCTTTTTATTTATATATAATTTTTGCACACTTTATTTATTTATATATAATTTATTTGGTACCTTATTATTTATATATAATTTTTTGCACACTTTATTTATTTACATATAATTTATTTGGTACCTCATTATTTATATATAATTTTGTGCACGCTTTAATTATATATTATATAATTTATTTGGTACCTTATTATTTATATATAATTTTGTGCACGCTTTAATTATATATTATATAATTTATTTGGTACCTTATTATTTATATATAATAGTTTTGTGCACGTTTTAATTATATATTATATAATTTATTTGGTACCTCATTATTAATATATAATTTTTTGCACACTTTAATTATTTATTATATAATTTATTTGGTAACTTATTATTTATATATATTTTTCAGCACACTTTGATTATTTATTATATAATTCATTATTTATTATATAATGCATTATTTATTATATAATGCATTATTTATTATATAATGCATTATTTATTATATAATGCATTATTTATTATATAATGCATTATTTATTATATAATGCATTATTTATTATATATTTCATTATTTATTATATAATTCATTATTTATTATATAATGCATTATTGATTATATAATGCATTATTTATTATATAATGCATTATTTATTATATAATGCATTATTTATTATATAATGCATTATTTATTATATAATTCATTATTTATTATATAATGCATTATTTTATTATATAATGCATTATTTATTATATAATGCATTATTTATTATATAATGCATTATTTATTATATAATGCATTATTTATTATATAATGCATTATTTATTATATAATGCATTATTTATTTTATAATGCATTATTTATTTTATAATTGGTTCGCTGCAAAGCGAACGAGGCTATGATTTATAAATAATGGTTTTCAGCGAACCAGGGAACCAGACTGCAGAAAACCATTATATATATAATGGTTTTCTGAGCTAAATAATGAAACTTGCATGCAAATTACCTACTGTAGGACACGCCTATGTTTTAAATATTCATATCAGAAGTTGTATGCGTACGTACGTATACTGAAATGCATTATTCATGTCCTTTTCGTTTGAGGCGTGATGTCGTTTTGCCGGGAAAATTAGTACCAGCTAACTTGAGTGTAGTTTTGAGAGCTAATTTTTTAAATGGCTCAAAACTCTGGCAACAATAATAGGCTGCAGGAAATAATATCAGCAGCTGTCGCTCAGATCTCAAGCGAAATTGCCCATCAATCGAGGCCTGAATGTACATCGACGGTAAGGCAAGACTCCGTCTCGGGTCCCACTATTTGCACGTCCCCCGGCATGCCCAGGAGTACAGGTGCTACTGCCACTGCCAGCATGGCCAGTGGAAGTACTAGCACGGCAAGGCCAAGGGTAAGGTAGTAATATAAGTACATTTTTGTATACTAGTGAGACTGAGAGAGGTTAAAAATAATGGGGAAAGAATTTCGTAGCCGAGCATAACTTGACACCGTACACACACTCCTATAAAAAGTGTAAACTTGTACTATCAGACTAGTCTGATAAATTGTAACTTGTATATTCAATATTGTCCATGGGACCATGCTTAGGATAAACTTAAGTAGGACTGATGTGTATTTTCCCAGTTTAGGACGTTTAATCGCTTTTTGATGGCATAGGTCATTGCAGGGTCTTCCCATTGTTCTTCTCATCACAGAAGTCCGTGCACTTTACACATGTTATAGAAGGAAGGAAGGGAAAAAGTATGTAAAATTCTTTCCCAATTATTTCCCTGGCCTTATGCATTTCGCGGCCATCTTGAAAATAGCGCCACCATGTGATTTACCGAAGACATTAGAGGGGAATGAGCCTGGAAAAATAATCCATACTGGATCACAATTGTTTTTCAATTAATTTTCAAGCGCCAAAAGTTGCATCCTTAATGGTTATTCCCTCCACTTTCCCTCCTCTACTCTCACCCTCTCCTTTCCTTTATTTCTATTTATTAATCAGTCACTTACTTCATCGAAATTCGAACTTTGGACTCTTGCTTGGAACACAAGACTCTTAACCGCTAGGCCGCGCATGATCGCTGTTGCAATATTCAATCTTTGGTCGTATTTGAAGTAGCCATTGAAATAAACTAAATATTCCTGAGAAAATAAATATTCATAATGACGTATTGCACTATTGGCCGGCTCATGCGACGTCGTGTCGATGTCATGCGTACAACGTACCCCTGTCTTCCAGCCACTTTAATCAGTTTTGACCGGCTGCTTCTACTTAGTTCTGCGCGACGTGTGCATCCAAAATGTGCTCTAAAAATACATTTTGCCTAATTTTTTGGTTTCCTCTTGGTTGAAATCACAAGGTGAGGTGAAAATTGATATGTTTGGCGGTAGATAAAGTGGTGACTCAGTATGGACATTTTCCCTTTTTCTTTCACTTGGCCGCAGTTATGTAAGAATCTCTACAAGAGGGATGGCAATTTAAGAGCTCCGTACCTAACAGTATAGCACCCTCAACAGTTTGCAAACCTTACATCCTGAGCAGAAACCTGTATGATAACAATCTGTGTACATTATCCAAACATCCTGTAACAAATTGCATTTTGCACTTTGCAGATACATCAATGGCCAATGCCATCTATGATGAGAAGACCTGGACGGGGCAAGGCTACGAAAGCCAAGGCAAAATTAGTTTCAAAGGACATTTTTTGTCTGCCCTATGATCATAAGTCTGTGGTCCCCATACCAAGAGGCCGGTGTCGTGAACGTTTGGCAGTTTCTGGGATGGCCGGGAAAGTAATGCTGTCAAGAGATCAGTCTCCTAATGAGGTGAATGAGGAAATTACCTCGTTGTTTCAACGGGCATTCCAACTGCCGGATGGTCGTCCATTTGTTTTTGAGTATCTGAGGTTTGTCCACCCCTTAGTTGTTTTTAATTGTGTTTTGTGCAGGTGTAACAGCCATTAGATTTCTTTTTGATTGAGTGAAGTAATGTACCCAGACCCATGTCAATGTGACACATTCTATTTTGACACATTCTATTCCGTTGCAGAAAGATGACTGCATGTATGTATGTTAGCTTTTGCATTTCTTTTATGAGCATGATGTAGCCTGTGTTTTTGTTTTTTGAAAAATGGGGATCCTCCCAAGCATCACTTTGCCAAGATAGACGAGGCCTACCCTCTTGTTTAAACATGGCTTGGACTGAGACTGGCCTCTTTCAAGACTGGCATCTATTTAACAAACATAACATAAGTTGGATGCTATTCATCTCCTGTGAAATGTTGCTTTTACCATTTGGATTATTAAGAAGAGTATAACCCCTCCCAAAAAGGAATCAAAAGGAAGTGGTTGGTACTGCTGAAACTGATGTTTAATTTAATTTGCCTTGCCCTATAGTCATTTACATTGTTGAATCACGAAGTGGACTGATATAAACTGAACAAAGTTGCTATTAACAATGTATAATCTTGCTTTGCAGTTTGCTGGCTTAGGTGAAAAACAAACATATCTGCTTCCAATTAAATGGGGTAATTGAAATAGGGTAACTAGGCAGGAAGGGCTTTGTTTTTGTTTTGTCATTTTGTGTTGTTTTCATCATATATGGATGTCTGCTCGCAGTCGAGGTTAAAAGCTAGTAATTGATTGCTTCGGATTGTTTTTCTCTCTCTTTCCCCCTCCCCCCAAAAATGTGGGTTGGAGGGCTGTCAATTAATCTTTGGATTTTGGTTAGACATTTACACATGTACACAAAGCTGTGCTACTCCACATAATTACATTTAGTCACTTTTTTTTTTTTTTAAATCACTATAGTGGTATACCAGGAAGCGGGAAAAAAATGCAGCGCCCGAATGTGTCTCCTAGCTTTCAATGGAGTGGAGCTGAGGTACTATCCATTTGTGGTCAAGGGTGCCTTTATATTATGTGTGATGCTCAGTACGATGTCACATCGGAAAATTTCTTTGAGGTAAAGTTGATAATTTGAAGATCTATAGAGTTGTAAATTCAACTTCATTGTTAAATAGTATACCGCCTGTTTTGAAGTATGATTTTACGTGAATGTTCACAGTTCCCCCTCCATTTTTGTGGTTTCACTTCTAAGCGTAGCCCGAATAGCAACAACTGAGACAAAAATAGGTGTTTGACAAAGCTCAGTCATGTGCCAGTCAAGAATCATGCATTCATAACACATTATCAATGCTTAAATCTGTATATTATTATTTAGTCAATAGATGAACATCATCGAATAATAACCAATGTGTACCATTAAACTGACTAGTTATTCTCCATTTGTTAGTACCAACAATGTGAATGACAGTTACACTGTATTCTCTGTCTTGGGAAACACTAGACTGCGGTGATGGGAAAAAGAGGAGACTGACGTCTGAACTGGTAGGACTCTACATTAATTGTAATGATCTTTCATTGTCATGCTATAACCTTTTACATATTTTTTTCTACACACGGTGCCTCACAAGCGTGTGTAATGGGGCATCTGTAACAGTGTAGTTCAATACTTTATTAAAAAGTGCAAACAGTGAAATCTCTATAAGTCGAACTCTGATAACTCAAAGCAACTGTTTAGTAAAACAAAGAATCCATTGCCTTCAATATACATATGTATACATAAACAGTCCTGTTTTACTATACTGTTGAGGCCAATACTTTGTGTTTCCCTTTTAACATGTAATATAACACTCTCCCATCGACCAAAAACACAAACCTACATGTACTACAGAGGATCGTTTCCAAGAAAAGACCCAACTCCCGAGGACTGAAAGGATCTGTTGTTCTCCCTCTGTGTGTCAGTAATTGTGTGATTTTGTAGAACATGTACAACCCTGCTTAACTGAAAACTCTGCTAAGGTCAAATTTGGAACCTGTTCCCTTGATGTTTGACTTATGAATATTTCAGTGTACTTTTAGTTGTGTAATTGCACAGTTACATCACAAGTTTTTGAGCATGGGTTGTGATTACATGGAAATGTGATTCAATATTTTTGTTGGAGAATATTAATTACATAGTTCTGTATTGAACAGAATGTGATAATTGGATTTGATGGTATTTGAAAAGAAAAATGAAAGAGTAGGCTACTCATACTACATTCTCACTTCTCATCAACCCCCCTAGGGGTTTGTGACATCTTGTTACATGTGCGAATAAGGCCAGTGTAAAATGAACCTGCCCATCTCCATCAGAAACTCATGCAGTGTCTTTTCCTTCAAAAAGGCTCTCAAGACCTACCTTTTCCCCAAAACGTAGCTGCATGTCCTTCTTTTGTTGTTTTTTGTCTTCTATTCCTCTTTCTTCTTTTCTAGCGCCTTGTATCCTTTGGTAATTTGGCGCTATACAAATCCAGTTATTATTATTATTATTATTATAAATGTTTCCTTATTGAAACCTTTGTAACATTACACACTCCTGATAAAATGAACAATTGCATGGTTGATGATGTGTACATTTGCACATGAGCACTAGCCCACATCTTTACAAAACTTGAGTCAAAATCACACAGAGGATGTGAAAGTTAGAAATGGCACAACCCCTAAATCTTGTTCTATGTCATGCTTTCAGCTACAAAGTGTTATTCGTGTGACTCTCTTCACAGGATTTTAGTGATGATGAAGATCTTCCTCAAGTTTCCATAGCTGCTCCGGTGAGAAACACCAGCCCAGCACCTTCCACCAGTACAGTCTCTCAGCCACCAACTACCAGTACAGTCTCTCAGCCACCAACTACCAGTACAGTCTCTCAGCCACCAACTACCAGTACAGTCTCTCAGCCACCAACTACCAGTACAGTCTCTCAGCCACCAACTACCAGTACAGTCTCTCAGCCACCAACTACCAGTACAGTCTCTCAGCCACCAACTACCAGTACAGTCTCTCAGCCACCAACTACCAGTACAGTCTCTCAGCCACCAACTACCAGTAGGGCTCGTGCACTCGCTGTTTGCTGCCGGTGATCACTTTGTGTACAAAACGAATGCGCGCAACATACACACGCCCGGTGATTTTGTTTCAAAAAGCCGGATGTTTTCATTCCCCATTTATAAGTTAAAATTTTGAAATATTCCTCGTAATTTATGATGATAGTTCAATGATGTAATAAACTTACATATTTTCCCATTGTGATTGTGATTTGAGTCGAAATTACACTTGTTTTTGCTGTTTGAAAAGTCTCATTTTAACTCCGAGTACGAAAAATGCTGCGCGCATGACATGTTACGTTCACGGGCCATGCGGCGCGCACAGACCGGTCCATGCGTTCAAGATCCACGGCAAGAATTGTCTGCCCTGGTGACTGTGTTTAACTCGGTCTTGACAGTAGTGTAGCATAGCAGACGTCAAGAAACCATACGTCAGTCGAAAGCTTATTGAAAATGCCATTCAACCATCCACGTTCCATGATAATCGGCCTACGCGTTGCAAAGTTACGATTCTTTTTGTTTTTCCCAAAACTTTTTCATCACGAAATACATTGAAAATAATAATGGAACCTTGAAAATTGTAATAAGTGATATCGAAGCTTGAAATGCTTTTTTAAAAACCTTCAAAATATGATTGTATTTTAGAGTTATAGACACATTTGTGTCGCGATGTATTTTCATCATGGCGCCTTCTGTTTGACAGCGCGCGTCGTGTGAGCATCACTGTTTCGTTCCCGGCACGTGATAATGTAAACGCAACAGAAAATTATCACGTTTGAGATCGAGTGCAGCCAAAACATTGTCACGTGAGGCGTCGCGTAATGCATATTCTACACTGGTTCCCTTCATGGCCCGTACGGTCAGAATATGTCAGTGGATACCGGTGTAAGTTCTTCGTTTTCGGAAACCGTCCAGACTCCATCGCACGTGGTGTAAACGAAATGGAACTCGGAGTGTTTTTGCTACCGCAGTACCGGCGATCATTTCACTTTTTGCCCACATCGTAGTTCCTCGATCTTAATAATCGATCTCTCCTTGTATCTCAGGTAGCATATCTAATAACTTTGTGGCCGTTTTTGAGAGTGAAATCTGATGTTTTTACAGTTTGTTGGGTGGCTATAGCATGTACGATTTTTGTGTACAAATGTGATGGGCACTGATGTAACGTTAGGCCATTGGAATTACGCAGGAAAATCATTACGCACAGCGCATACTTTTTTTTTACTAAATTACTAGGCTTATGAGATTTGCACCAAAATGGGATAAAATAACCCAAATATGAGAGAAACTTCGTTTTATAACCTAAATGGGATACCCAAGTTTTATATCTTTGTTTAAATTTTTGTCAAATTTGGGGATTTGGGGCATTGAGAATTGGACTTCGGCTTGGGCCAGTTTACACGTTTACGCATGCCAGACTGAAATTTCTCCATTTTGGCCAAAAATTAGCAAAAAAAAGAAGGTTTTTTTTTAGATTTTAGATTTTTTTTTGGTCTTTTTTTGGTCCACATGCTGTATCTACACACAATCCTTGTGTCATCCAAATTTGGTGAAAATATGTTCTAGTGAATGGAAGTTTTGTTACTTTTAGTGCTTTTTGGGTAGGACTTAGTCATTTTTCAACCTTGCCGTTCATGATTTTTAGTGTAAAAGTACATTTTTAACAATCATTTTATTGCATATCAAGTTTTTTATTAACTCAAAACCAACTGAAACCAATAGTATTTGTGATAAACAATGGACAAAAACAAGTTGAAGTTTACCAAAGTGTTTATTTACACCACAACAGATGTTCAAATATGCCTTTTTATTCAATTTCACAAAAATACACCATTTTCGTACACATTTCCTATACAAAATAACGTCATTTGATCGACATATATTTGGCCATAACTTTGGATTGCACGGGTCAATTTTTGCAATTTTACCATCATTTGTTTTCTTTTTGGGTGGGCTTCACAATGAAAGCAATCTCTTAAACAAATACAACCATTTAAAAAAAAGTTCACTAGCCCTACTACCAGTACAGTCTCTCAGCCACCAACTACCAGTACAGTCTCTCAGCCACCAACTACCAGTACAGTCACTCGGCCACCAACTACAAGTACAGTCACTTGGCCACCAACTACCAGTACAGTCACTCGGCCACCAACTACAAGTACAGTCACTTGGCCACCAACTGCATGTTTCTCCCCATTCTACCAGTAAGAGCATATTTCTAAAATTTCTGTCAGCACATGTCCATCATACCTAAGGCACTGTAAATAATACACTGCGCCACAGTAAATTTTATAATTTTATTATACGTCTTCGATGCAGCACCTTAGTTTCTTGCCTCAGATGGACAGAAATGACTATATTTCAATCTATTAGTGAAATGGTGTAGATGTTCTTTTTTCTAAACCCCATGTTCAGTCCCACCAGCCCAGTGGACTTAATGCATATCATTCTTTGTTGTTCATGTGAAACTTTAATGAAGAAAACACCACTGTATGACATTTCACATACCCTTCACAGCACTTGTTGAATCTTTGGAAACAGCGTTTTCTTATGTTTCCTTTGTATTGTTCAGTGCCTTCGGGAAGGGTGGGTCTTGTAGTGGCAGCAGATGAATGTTTCTGGATGTTAACAGTTGTTCACTGTTTCTTTATAGGACTTATATGAACTTGCTGGAGGACGAAACTCCTGAACTCGAAGAACCGGATGAAATTCCAAGTACATTGAATTCAGAAGATGTCCCTGCAACAGTGTAAGTTTAATTGCACATGTCAGTGTCATAAAAGTTAAACTATACCCTAACAACTGTGGCAATGCCAAATAGATCAGTTGTCAATGTGGTTGATGGGATAAAGTTTTAAATCTCAAGGCTGATAAATGGCCCATATTGAAGGGGGGGATCTTGGAGGGGCTGTAAAAATAAAAATTTGAAAAATATTAATATGCAGACCATGCAATTTAGATCTGAAATGGACCTGTTAAACCATCCTAAGGTTATACAGGTCAAAACTGTGGAAGTGTCCCTGCCTTCAAACTGCCATGCACAAATTATACACCTGTCCAAACAGATGCCTGGTTTGGATCTGAATTTTAAAGATTGGCGGCAGCATTGTAAACATGACAGGAGTTTTGCCAAGCTTGGCGGGCCACCAGGCTACTTTTATTAAAGGTTGTGTACAGCACTGACTGAAATTCATATAGAGAAAAATATTAAAAGAGATGCCACTTTTCAGCCTTTTTTTATCTAAAAAAGGGGGGAAAAGAGAAAAAAAACCTGTTGAAATACGTTGATATTCACCTTGTTAGTGCTTTCCAGTTTAGTACATGTCTTTCTTATTGCTCTTTCTGCAAGTTTTCAAATCAAGGCGAGTTTGCCAATTGAGGATATGGCATTGCTTTCTTCCCTGTCCTCAATGTACATCATCAAATTACTCAGACCCATGGTGTAAATTGACATGCATGGATATGGTGTATTTTGCTTTGCCCTTTTTTAAACCGCCCATATTGGTATTGTACACCTTGTACCTGTCCTGAATGCAATAGAAGCCTCATATGCCCCTGAAGCTTTAATAGTGGACATTAAAAAGTCCCCATTGAAAGTGAAAGAAATTTTGTAAGCGTTGAAAAGACCCATTTTTTTCCACTAAAAGGACAGATTAACATATTTTTGCATTGTGATGGTAATATGAAAATGAGTTTCACCATATGTGTCCTGTTCATATGCTTCCTTTTTTTTGGAGTTTAACTTATTAAATATTGCAATAAAATGATTTAATGTTCATTTTTACACACGCAGTGACCAAAGCACAATGCGAGTAAGCTTGTTGCAGTGGCACGCAACTCAGTGCACATCAAGCGAGGATACGTCTAGAGTTGTTGTCCGTAGGAGGCATGTTAAAGATGACACACTCCGAGCTTTTAAGAATAGGAGCCTTAAAGGAGACAATGCCTTGAACGTGTACTTTGTTGGTGAGAGTGGTGTTGACACCGGAGGGTTAACCAGGGAACTCTTCAATCTTGTTCTTCCTCAACTAAGGGATCATTTTCTATGTGGCGATCCTGGTAAGCATACATTTTAGATATGTTCAAGTTTGTCATCCCCTTGGGAAATGGTTTTACTCGACGGAAGTTCACTCCCATCTCCTGTTTTAGTATTTCCATCCAATGTAACCATCCACCACAAATGGGATGCTAGTTGGTATTTTTTTTTCACTCATGACATCAAGAGGTCGTGTTGTTCATGTTGACCTGACAACCACACTCTATGTGTTGAGACATTTTTTTCAAAAAGCAATTGCCACATTTTGTTTGTGTGCTTGAAAAATAATGTACAGGGGGTGGGAGATAACGGAGCTCTTTATGTTGATAATGCCATTTCACTGGCACTTGCTGAGCAGCTGAGTACCTACAAATAACTGTTAGTAGGTTGATATAATGTTATGCAATTATTTTTGCATTGTCGATTACTGTTATATAACACCCAGTTAAATCTTGTCATTGATTGCATGTTTTGCATTCATGCAATGGTGAGAATATTTTCATTCCTTGAAAGTTTGAATGTTCCATTCAACTCGGCTTCACCTCGTTCAATGGAAAATTCAATCTTTCAACTCATGAAAATATTCTCACCATTGCACTCCTAAACATTCATTATTTGTATATTATACTAGCCTAGTGTTTCCAGATGTTGTCTATTGATTTACAGATGAAATGGATATTTTGTTTTTCTCAGGGATGATGCTCCCTAGGGGGAGTGCCAGTGCCATTGCTGACGGCACATTGCATGCAGTTGGAAAAATATTTGCCGCCGCGGTGCTGCATGGGAGGCAGTCACTACCATTCTTACACCCAGTAATAGCTGAGCTACTCATCAGTGAAGAAAACCCAACACTGCATATTTCCTGGATTGCTGAAGCATCAAGGAGAAATGGGCTTCAAAAGGTAGGATGCAGTATTGAAGGATATATCCTTCCTTCCTTCTGTCCCATAGTTTTAGGGCCGTAGGGGCGACGTTATGATGGTTTTTGTCACACAGTTCCTCCATTTGTTTCGGTCTTCTGCTGTTCTAAGAAGTTCTGCCCAGTTAAGACCAATCCACTCCTTGATGTTGTCTGCCCACATTTTTGCTGTTTTAATTTTCTACCATCTGTTCCACCCTCCATGATTGTGTTTGCGAGACTCCGCTTCCATCTGACCATGTTTCCAAACCAGTGGAGTTTTCTCTTTTTTTGACGACTGTGAATAATCTCTCGTTTGCCAATATAGCTGTCCATTAGCTCACGTACAACTTGGTTAGTGGTGTGGCTTGAGTAATGAACTTGCAGCAGTCTCCGCGTACAATTCATCTCAAAGGCGTTGATTTTCTACTCTGTCTCTGCTGTTATTGTCCAGGTCTCACAACCATAAGAGAAGATAGATGTTATCAGGGCCCACAGTAGCTGCGTTTTTGATGCCATGGAGATGTTCTTGTCACCCCAGAGGTGTTTCAATTTTGCTAAGGCTGAGGTGGCAGTTGCAATCCTCATTTTGATTTTTCAGCTACAGATCTTGCATCCTTTGTGATTGTTGAGCCAAGTTACTTAAACTGGGTGACTACTGAGTCTTCGACTTCTTCATCTGACCCCATCTTCATAACTTTGCTTTTGACTGAGGCTAATCTCCATCCCATAATTCCTTGCACTTCGCTTCAACTTTGTTGTTATCTCTCTCGGTTCTTCTGCCAATCCTGCTACAAGGTCATGTCATCAGCAAATCTCAAGTTTGACACTGTTATACATCCTTTCTTGACTGAGCCCTGAAAATCTGGTAGAGCTTCTGTTATGATGTTTTCAAGGAATATGTTGCAGATTGTTGGAGACAAAAGGCAGCCTTGCCTTAAATCCTTTTTGTGCCGTGTCTGGAACCATTCTCTGATCTGATCTCCATATAGGACTGCACTTTGAGATGCTTTCTACAGGGTTTCAATGGCATTCACAATTCCCTTGCTGACGTTCAATTTTCTCAGGATTGCACACAGACCCTCTTGCCAAACAAGGTCAAAGGCTTTCTTATTAATCACTGAAGTCATGTGGGCTTAAATATGTCATTGAGTGATATTAAGTTGTCTGTCGGTTACACACACCTTAGCCCTCGTGCACAAAGTCAGTCTCTTTATTTAATAGATTTGCATTTCTTGTTACTCGACGAGTCATTTTTTGCAAAATAAGTGAAGGCAATCCCATATACAAAATTCTTTCCAATTATTTTTCTGGTATTTATTGATTTCATTTTTGATTAAGGTCATTGTCAAATTGATGAGAGTTCAATTTCATTTTTATTGTAATTTGTAATTGAATGTAGTAAATGGGACAGCCACTTGTCTATTATAAGGTAACCATGGTTGCCCTTTCAACAGTGTGGGTGCTCCATTAACAAGCCATATTTTGTTTTTAATATTTGAGGGGAAAATTTGGTTTATGACGAATTTACCTGTTAAAGTCTTTGGGGCCGGACCCGCATCAGCATATGTTTCCATGTGGACTGATGGTTTTTTTTTTGTGTGTTAACAGGTCAATGACGCCACTACAGAAGAGGACATTCAAAATGCATGTCAGCAGGAAGGATGTGACCTCGTGTTGACGGAGGTCAACTGGAGGAAGGTGCTAAATCTTGCCAACAAGAAAGAACTAATCGGTGCTGCATGCAAACACTACCTGATATTCGACCAGCATGCACAGTTGAACACACTGCTAAGAGGAATGGACTTCTATGGCATGAAGCAATATGCCCAGTCATATCCAGGTAAAATAGTATACAAATATAACGTGGTTTGAGAGCGGACAGATGATATTCACTCCCCAAGGTATTGGAAGTTAACAAAGGAGGGAACAATAAAACATGTTGAATTCTTTGGGAGGGGAGGGGTCATTGCTCATAATGAGCACTGGAGTAGGAAGAGGGGCGGCAGGGGGGTGGGCTGGTACCATCTATCGATGGGGGCGCTCTTCAAAACCGACGGTTGTGCACACTAATAGACACTATATGGTGCTTTTGAGGGCGATACATGCACGTAATTCCCCCCCCCCCCCCCCAAAAGGCACCCGGAACGGCCTATGGGACAACAAAGGGCACGACTTCTTTTTAAAAAGGGCACTTGCTCAGAAAAAGGGGACTTGTTAAAAAAAAGGGCACTCTTCACAAATATTGGGGGGGGGGGGCAGGTAAGCGCTGGTGAAAAAAGGTCATTTGAATGGAAAAGGACAGTATTTAGAAAATATTGGGGGGGGGTGTAAATATCCCCCTTACCCCCGCTGGCTACGCCCATACAAAGGATATACAATAACCCAAGATTTTCTCACCAGATATGAAAAGACCAATGTCTGAACTTACCTTAGCTGAAGGGAAATTATTCGAGTGCCCTGGCAAGTGCCACTTTGGATGGTTAAAAATGGGTTACAAAATGCAGTTTTGCTACTTGCAAAAACATGCTGTATTGTACGGTTAGGGACTAATATAAAGGGGATTTTTTCAGAAGAGTTTTTATATTTTTTCTTGTAAGGGTAAGGATGATACTTTGTCGTGATATAGTTACTTTTGTTGACATTACTTCGCAGTTTGGCTTGACGACCTTTGACAATAACGCAAAAAATGAATTTTTGCAACCTCAAAATTGCCTAAATGAATGGCCAAAAAACGTAATGGCCCGTAACATGGCAACGGGCAAAATAACAGATTAAAAAACATTTTTTGGTTACTTGTTCCCCAAGTTCTTTCATACCACAAAGCATAGAAGCATTTTTTTTTTTTGTGTGGACACATATATGAAGTAATTACACGAAATGACTCTTATAAATTTCAGTTTGGAAACCAATTTGAGTGACAGTAAGGTAGATATTCAACAAGATGAACAACCAGCACAATGGAAAGACCCACAAGTTTACCTGGGGTGTTAAAGTTTGGAGATTTGTTGATTTTTCTCCATATGTAGCAATCTGTCATACTTTGGTGTCTGTTATTTATCTAGATTGCATACGGAGTATCTTTGGCAGTGTTGCTGACCGCAAACTTGATGCAGACCAGGTATTTGACCTCTTTGATATCAAATACAGTGAAGAGGGAAGCAACAACAGAGAGAAAGAGGAAGCAACAACAATGCATTTCCTAGATTTCTTGGAGAAATGTGGTACTGGAGGTGAGGTCAATGACAGATTGTGATCTATTTTTGTTATTGATTGTATCATTAACAGTTTGCATCACCTCCCATCTCCCCCTCAGAGGACCCCCTTGCCCCTAATCCTCATTATTATTATTATTTCTAGTAAACATAGCTTATCAGCCAGTGGACTACATTTTTTGGAGACTATGATTAGTCCAAAGAAAAAGCAGTTTAGCCACTTTGTCCGTCGTAGGTTTCCATCGCAGTTGATGATGCACCAGGAGCTAGATGGTTTGGTTTTAGGAAGCGACGGATGATGTTGCATGTTTGGAGGATGACTGTCCGTTGGAGAAGGTGTGTCTTTACCCTAAGGTGTTCAGCCTGTTGAACTGTTTCCTTCAGCATGAGACCAATTGAACCGATGACAGGATGTATGGTGGCCTTGACATGCCACATTTTCTGGATCTCCATCCTAAGGTCTTAGTGTTTGTCTCATTTCTTGGCAAACTTCCTTCTGATGTTGCCGTCTGCAGGAATACTGACTTCGATTATTTTAGCCTCACGTCGTTGTTTGTCTATGGCGATGATGTCAAGCACTTTCAGTTGCTTTACAGCAACCCCCACACACCTGTTGGCCCATTGACTTAAAAGTATGTACACTGCCTGCTGCACATATGTCACCATGTAAGGAATTCCATAGCTGTACGGCACTGGGCAAGACACAACGCTGGAACTGGCTGGTGCGACATCTCATCGGCTGCAGAGTAAGCCGATGCAGAGACGATGCAAGTCGAGTATTTCTTGACGGCACATACGGCTCAGGGACATAATTGTTCAGGGGATGAAGCAGATTGGACCAGTGATGTAGTGCCTTGATGCTGGGCCTTGGCCTTAAGGCTGCCTTAAGGCTGGATTTTAGGGCCTTGGCCTTGGCCTCGAGGCTTGAGGGCAAAAGCCTTGGCCTTGAGGGTTCAGGGCCTTGCAATTTTGAGTCAAGGCTCTTCAAGGCCCATAGATTTTTGAATTTTCCAGATAAATCTGTTCGAAATTTTGCTGTTACCATTTTTATCGTATCACCATGGAGGAGGGAAGCATCCTATAGATTTGTGTGTTGGCCACACTTCCACTTGTGTAGCATCACATTTTGTTACCATTGTAGTAGATTTGCTGCAAAAATATTCCGTACACTTGTGGGGCTAATGAGATGATCACTTTAATTGCATATAACTATGGAATAGATCTGATTGGTTGTATATTATGTCTCCCTGATAAGTGCTAAAGATTTGCATGTATCTGTTTTTAATGCTGATATTTCTGACCATGTTGGGCCAGCAAATATAAATTTCGCAAATCAGTTTCTTGGATCCCCTTTTGTTACACTTGGGAGAATTGTGTGTCAATATAGAAGTAAATCATTATTTTGTTTAGTTAAACCATATTGAAGACCTGAACTTATACTTTAATAGATACAGTGCAGTCATAAAACGGTGTAGGCCTATGCGAGCATGTTGATTGCAATTAAAGAAATGTTGTTCTTCGTAACGAGCAATTTGTGATGATAAGGGCGGATCCAGGGGGGCCAAAAGGGGCCATGCCCCCCCCCCAAAAAAAACCCGAAACCATTTGTTTTTATGTGACGTCGTAATAAAGGCAGGCAATGAGTACCCCACCATCTTTTCCTCAAAAAACATTGGTTAAAGTGGTCAGAAATTGCCTCAAATCGCACCACAGAGCATCTCGAATCCAAAATTTTTTGCCCAAGCCGTAATTTTTTGAACCACTTATTTTTTTTGGAGGGGGGGGGAACAACATTTCTTCCCCCCCCCCCCAAATTGTGTTCTGGATCCGCCCTTGCGTGATGATGTGTCACTCATGTGACTATAATTAGTTCTATATCAGTGGTCATTTCATAAAACAGGGCCTTGGCCTTGGCCTCGAGGCTTGAGGGTCAAAGCCTTGGCCTTGGCCTTGAGGGTCAAAGCCTTTGCTCCAACACTGGATTGGACCGTATCTTGTACAGCATAAATACATTACTGCCATTACGTCCATGGCCCAGATCACACAGAGCATTGCCATCATAAAGAAATCGGGCAGTATGGAGTACCCTGTCAATGCGACTGAGGTCAATCAACTATCACAATCGGAGTTTACATTGTCAGCGTAGTCGTTCAGTGAATTCTTGGTAATCTTGAACAGGTCCATCGGGTAAATATTGAACAACAAGGGGCCAAGAACACTTCCTATGTTTGGACTAGACATTTTAGCAACAGCTCCCTACCCACATCCTGTTCCCCCCTCCCTCCTCGATATTCATATTGTTCTTGTTTTGTAGAATTTTTTTGGGTGAATTTGTTTTGCATGCCAAGTGTAGTGTGATATGCATCTAGTTTGGATGTAAGGGTTACATACTTTTGTTAACATTGCTGAGCTGTAGACAAAGTGCCCCCATCTGCTTTGGACATTATTTTACTTGGACACTCACACTTTTAAAATGACATTTGTTAAAAGTGGATGCTGAAATTTCTGGGGCAAAAAATTCACTAGCCCCCTTGAAAATGGCCATGTTCCTCCCCCTCTAGACAAAATGTGGATATATTACTGGGTGCCACTTTATACTACACCCAATGCATCATCTGCAGTATTGTACCCTAGCCATAATAGGAAAGTATTCTTGGAATTTAAAAGGAACTGGAACCATGGCTATTAAACACTTACTGATATTGTATCATTCAAACACAATAGGGACAAGGTGGATATACAGAGAAAATGTTACCAAGCATCAATAATAGATAAAAAAAAATTATACTATGAAAGAATTCAGTGTGGGAGTTTATGGCATTACTTCCAAAGTTGAAGTTAATAAAAACATTTCTTTACCTTTTAGATGCTGACGCTGGTGGATTCACATTAGAAGATTTTTTAGAATTCTTCACGGGATCCAAACAGCTATTGCTGGGGGGTATGTAGCCCCATAAATGTGGCCTATTTACTGGACTGCCTCCGTAAACATAGGCCACACATCCACATGTACAAAAATCGTGTCGACTTTGCCAAATTTAGATTTTCACATTTAGGCTTAGTTTGTAGGATTTTTTTGCTTTAGAAGCATACTCACCCTCTTTATGGGCTAGTCAGAAAGTGCTGCCTTTTTCAGATGTCTAATTTTTGTGAAATTTCGTGTTGAAATTTTGATACGCAAACGTGTAAAAATGAATCTGGAAATTTCACGAAAAATATACATCTGAAAAAGGCAGCACTTTCTGATTAGCCTATAAAGAGGGTGAGTATGCTTCTCAAGCAAAAAACCCCTACAAACTAAGCCTAAATGTGAAAATCAAAATTTGGCAAAGTCGACACGATTTTTGTACATGTGGATGTGTGGCCTATGTTTACGGAGGCAGTCCAGTAAATAGGCCACATTTATGGGGCTAGGGGGTATGAAGACCAACCAACCTTGGAGTTTCACAATGACATGCTGCCCAGGGTATCCACCTGTATTCACCGCATCACATTGCCCAGGTCATGTGACTCATCTGCATTCACACCAACGTTCGTAACGGCAATCAGAAATAGTTACGGCTTTGGGTTGGTGTAAAATTGTTACAAATGTACTGTACTTACAACTCTCATCAAAGTCTCAGATACAATGTGAGAATCTGCAAATTATGAACAAGCCAACTGTACAAATGGAATTTTCCATATTGAGCAGCAAAATGCAAATGCAACAGAGTGCTGTAGCGATGACTTTGTTTCTGTGTGCACTTATGATGGGGACCATGGAGCGTGGATTTGAAGCTCCATGGAAAAACACAAAGGTAAACAACAATATTGGCAGTAATTGTGCAATTTGTGATCATAGCACCAAATTTGGCACAAAGATAGACAAATACATTGTGAACGAACCTAGACAATGGGTAATTGCTGATTCTGTGATTGCTTCTCGTTTAGATGTTGCTATTCTTGCGTATATTTTATGCACATTCACTGAATTGTGGAAGTTTCGAAAGGTCCAAGTAATGAAATATTTTGTGTCTGTCAACAGCAACTGTGGGGATTCAAAACATTGTTTTCATTCGCCTACTTCTATCGTAACACGGGATGGGTGTTGACATGTAATATTTTTGGATGAATGGTCTGTGGAGCATCGCCTAATAAATCATTATTTAAACATTTTCAAAATAATTCATTTAGGCCATAAATATGCATAAAATATGCATAACATTAGCACCTGTAGTGGTCATATTCATGACATGTCAACATGACATTACGCAACTGAATAAAAATTGCGCTAAGTTACCTTCGTGGTTGAAGTACGGAAGTGTAATGAAGTAGCGTTGGATTGCCCCAGAATGCTAATACATGTAGTCCTTAATTAGCATCATTGTTTGTGCACACTGCAATACGAAAACAAAGAATGTCCCTCAAATGACAATCAGTGATGCCCCAATATGCAAAATGTGTTGCTTTCATCACAAAATGCACAAAAGGTTGTAATCCTTTCAAAGTAAACTTTGCATGCAGACAGAGGGAATGTTTCTTATAGTTGTTTTCCAAAACACCTCCTTGCAGGTACAGTCCGACAATGTTCTGTAACTTTAAGATACCGCAATTTATCAACTTCACTGGTTGCTTGTAGACTTGTAGTAGTACATTGTGGTAGCTTCTGTCGATTTCATGGCGCTCAATTCCTTTAGACAGGAATTGATTCAATGCTGTACCCTTTTCAGTTGTGTGAAAATCTCTCTAACGTTAACTCTAGGCTTACGTGCTACACGTTCTGTTCTTGTTTGCAAGACCCACAAAACATTGCAAATCAAATACGATTCTTGCTTCGACCGTGCACGCCCTGTACTAGTAGAAACTTAGAAAGCCTTCAACATACTCTAATTAGGTCATGATTCCAACTTTGCCCAGGTATACGCTAGTGTTTGTTGTAAAACTGAACAAATCAAACGTTGCACGGATTCACACTTTACCCGTTACACATTAGAGTTAATGCCATGGTATTTAAGGCAATTGTACGGGACTGTATTGCCAAACTTTTAAATTGAAATTTGTAGGTAAGGCTAGACTTCACGAATAATTGACATGAAGTGTATCTAAATCAGACATCTGAATATAAATCCTTGGATGCCCGGATTTTTAAACACACTTAGCAAAACAAGAGAATGCATCGAGATCACATTACAAATATTCGTGGCTAACGTGGTTTGTAAGTGGCATTTGTGAACGATCAATTTAACAGTGATGCAACTAGGAATGATAAGTGCAGTATGCTGGAGACGTCCATTGAAAGTTTTCATGTTAAGGTAACATATTCTTTCAGCATTTTCAAAGCATGTATCACAGTACCTACAGCTATGTGAAAGTGGGATTTCAGAGTTAGGAATTACTGACGATTGTCCTTGTTTGCTGCGCAAATATATCATTTGTCAAATGGATCAGATCTACAAAATTGGATTTTTAAAGTTCATTTTTGTTGGTGATGGAAAAGTTATAAGTGTCAGTCAAATAAGCAACCCCAATGATAACCTTTTTCAAACTATCCCAGTATTGTACAATTTGGCACTGGAGGTGTTTCCCAAAAATAATTATTAGTAATTTTTACATTTGTTGGTGTGCACATGGTGCATGACTTGTTATCTGATAAAATGCAAAAATAATGTCCAACGACTTGAGGACATGGAGGTCTTCTAGTTCTGTTTGCAGTCTTCAGATTACATTTTGTATGTAACATGCATTGATACCTACACAAAGCAGATATACATGTACATGCAGCATGCCATCAGTATGTATGATACAGCAATTATTACTAACATGTTTTTGGGATATTGGCAGTGTAAAAGAGTTAAACTGAAATAATATGATTGTGAACAGTATGATTTTCTGGGTCATTGTCAATTCTTACTGGACTATTACTGGAATATTAATATGTACCGACAATTTGTCAGAAAAAGTGAGGCAGAAGTTTCATGTTTTAATCAAGTCGGATACATTTCGAGAAAGGAAATTACATTGTTCATTGTTCATTTGTTCTTGAGTTCACAGTAGTTATTGTAGCTTTAAAGCTTTAAAGGCCATTAAACTGATTTGTTTTTTCTTAAACAGTTTACCTTATTGCCAAGAGGACTAACAGTGTATTTATTTTTTAACATGTGTTTATTTGGGTTAGATACATTCAACTGGGCTATTGTACAAGACCACAAAAAACTCAGTTAATAGCAAGCAGGTGCTTTTAAATTTCATTGTCAGATTGGGTATTGGAATCGAAAATCATCACATTGCGTTTGTCACCCCGTAAATACTGCCGTGTGTTATAAAATTAACAAGTACAGTGTACAGTCGACTCTCGTTATAACAAGGTCGATGGGACTAGCCAAATTACCTCTTTATAACAGGAATGTTGTTATAAAAGGAGAACGAAACAAAGAATCACAAAGAGAACCTGAGATTTTGGCCCTCAGAATTTGATCTTTATAAGCAGAACCTCTTTATAAAAGTGTGGTTTATAACGAGAGTTGAGTTTTAGCGATTGCAAAATAATTATCCGACTCTACAAAAAGCAAGTCCAACCTTTATAGCAGTGCTTATAATACTTGTCTCGAGTGTTCCAAAGGAGCAATGTCAGTATGCTTGGACTTGTCAATTCAAGAGGTGGGATCTCTGATTTTTTTGGAGGGGAAGGGGGTGGAATTGTTTCATACATTTGCACAAACTTTTATCATAGTGGATAAAAACCTGGGTGGATAGAAACTTCGATAAATGTATATTAAATGCAAGTTTTGATTTCAGTTTCAAGGCACGTTTTACAGATTACAGCTTGAAACAAACATAAGCTGCATATTTTCTTTTATAACAAGACTGCTGGCGTTAACAAAAGTGTTTTCAACTGTAAAAATTTGGTCTTTTGAAGTTTAACAGGTCTTTAGGGTTAAGAAAAGAAATATCGAAAAACACAGATTTATCGATAATTTTTTTTGGTGGAAAAGGGATTTGCTTTTTGAAGTTTAAAATATCAGAGCTTGAAAATATCATTCTTATTTTCAATACAAGACTCATAGGACCCAAAATAAAAAACAGTTGATAATTAGGATATTTAAAAGAAATTAAAAACAAAACAAAAACAGTGTTTGTCCCAGTTGGAATGGTTGTTGGAGTTTGTAAACGGGTTGTAATAAAGTGCTACTTTGAAAGTTTCAGAATGTGTCTCTCTTTGATCTTTATTTACCTTCTTCTGTCTGTATACAATGACCACACATACATGTACATGTACTACTAAAAACAGGGATCAAATGTATTTCTTACTATATTATACTATTACTTTCAGTCAAAATAAACTCCGAAAATGAATCATCTTACATAAGATACAAATATGGCTAACATTTTCAAAAGCAACCAACCGACACTTATTGTTTTTGAAGGGTCAATTATTCAAACAAGACGACAGATTTTTGTTTTAAAAAAGTGGGTGGTTGATTCCATCAACTAGATTTGGATGAACTTGCAGCATGCATGTAATAATTATATGCTTTGAAGGCAGTGTGTACTGTGCTGTGCCTGGAAATGCAGGTCTGCTAGTGGACGTCAGACTGACAATTGATGTTGCAAATTAGCTGTTAATAACACTTGTACAAAATAGTTTTATTTATGGCCACTATAGCCATCTGGTCATGGCTTATATTACTTACTACAGAATTGGATGAATGCTGCACAATTTGTTTTTGTACACTATCTGTATAAGTGACATGCTGTATAACCAACTGTAAACATGAATAGCCATTTAACACTGTTCTGAAGATGTTACAATGTCTACAAGCAGGATTTATATACTGTATGAGGAAGGAGGCAGCTGGACACAATTTGCTGAGAACCATGAACATAACTGACAGACCTCATTATTGTTCACTCCCATTGAAAACATTTAATCAACAGCAAGAATTTTTCTTCTTCGTCATAATTTTTGGATTCTCCCAATGACAAACACATGATCTA